ACTGTAGTGAGATGAAACTTAAGCTTTTTATTTCATTGGGGAAAAAAAGAACAATCAGCTCTTTCTCTATCTCTCTCCCTTCTCTAGAAATGTAGCTCCAATTTATAGCTGTGGAAATTTAAGAAAAGTAGAGGTTTGTTTTATGAGCAACCTCTTGATTTTTGCTAGACTATAGTTGGGTTGAATTAAACTCTGGGCACAGTTTAAGAACTTGTGCATTGTCCATATTTATATTATGTGGTGGTCTGCTATCAGCTAACATTATATATATTTTAAAATCTGTATATTTTGACATTTTTGGCTGCCTGGTGGCTTCAGATGTTAAGAAAAAGCTGAGCGTCATGACAACCAAGCTGCTAGATTGAATCCATATGGTAAGGATAGTCAGCCTGCTGTCTATCTCAATTACAGAGACACGCGAACAGCGATATTGCAGGTGTGCGTCATTTCAACTTCAGTAACCAGAAAATAGCAACTACAGAATTTAAACATTTCAATCTCTTTTATGATGAAGTTTGGGAGCAACTATTTTACCACATTTTAAGTGATTTGTAGAACATTCTGCAGCTATGAATAGCTTAACAGATGTTTTTTTTAATTGAATTGGCATACTAGGATTTTAAATAGGAAACCGGTCATTTATAATTGCTTTTTATCCTCACATTTATTGGCTTACAAATGAGAATGTATCTCTTCTCTTCATGCTTGAGGCCATCTCTGGAAAAATGTTTAATTGACAAATTGTAACTTCGATCAAGCTTGGTATTTTTTTAAAAACTTATGCTGTGCTGAAAGGTACCCAATTTCAATTTATTTTATAATGCATTTTGACAGAATCATGTATCATGTTAAAGTAAATTGATATTACCTTGCCAAATATAACCATCCAAGGTAAACTGAAGGGGATAAACCCTGATATCATCTATCTAAATGAAGTAATGTGCTCCAAACGAATATAGTTAAGCTACAGGGAATTACATATTGTGATACCATCCAACTTTGAGAACTGATTTATCAAACTGATACAGATCACTTGAAACATGAACAACTGAACTCATCAAGGCAAGGGGTTCCTGTCGTAGAGAATAGGCATGATCACTGCAATGTCATCATGTAGTGCTCCCAGGTCAGATATAGCACAGACAAATAAAGGATCCTTTGAACTTTGCCTCAGAATTCTGTTCCAAATTATTTCCATTCCCACTGCACCAGTGCAACATTTTATAGACTCATAGATGTTTACAGCCAGGAGGGTCCCATTCAGCCTGTTGTGTCCGTGCCACTGAACAAAGGTCTGACTACACTAATTCTGTTTTCCAGCTTTTGGCCCATACCCCTGAATGTTGTGGCAACACAAGTAAATATCCAAATATTGCTTCACTGTTACGAGTGTTTCTGGCTCAACCCCTCTTTTAGGCTGTAAGTTGCAAACTCCCACAACCCTATGGGTAAAAAGATTTGCCTGAACTCTTCGCTAAGCTTTTTATCTCTGCTTAAATCAGTCTTCTGGTTATTGACTCCATTACTCATGGTAAAAGTTTCTTCATACTCAACCTGTCTATGCCCCTCATAATCTTATACACCTCTACTAGGTCCCCTCTCAACCTTTGCTGCTCCAAGGTAAACTACCAGCCTATCCAACCTTTTCTCATAGCTCAGACCTGGAGCCCAGGCAGCATCCTGGTAAATCTCCTCTGCACCCTATCTCATACTTCCTATAATATGGTAATCAGAACTAGGCACAGCACTTCAGTAGTGGCCTAAACAGTATCATATTCCAATTAACCAGTTCCAACGTAACATCCTTGTTCTTTACTGTATTAGCCAGATGTAGAATACAAGTATCCCATATGCCTTCTTAACCAACCACATTATCCATCTGTCCTGCTATCTTCAGGGATTGGTGGGTATGCACACCAAGGTCTCTCTGATATTCAGTACTTTCCAAGAACCAACTATTCACACTGAAATCCCTTGCCTTATTAGCCCTCCCCAAATGCATTAACACACACTTTTCCAGATTGAATTCTATTTGTCACTGTTTTGCCCACCTGCCCAGTCCATTGACATCCTGCAGTTTACAGCAATCCTTTCATTCTTTACCAACAAATTTTCATGTCATCTATGAAATTCTTCATCATATCACTACATTTGTCCAAATCATTAATGTATACCACAAGACTATAAAAAATAAGACAGAGGAGCAGCACTAGGCTGTTTGGCCCATCGTGACTGATGTGTCTCAACCCCATTCTCTTGCCTCCTCCCCTGCACATCAACTGCAAACCCAGGCATTTGATGAATGCCAAACCCTAAGTGAAAAGCACTCAAAAACACAATTGATAACTTATAGTTCTAATTTTGTAAAACTTGCATTTTAAAATATTTTTAGAAACTTTTATTTTGAGAACCTGAGTCAACAGTATGTCAATGGGGGAATAATTACTGACTGGGAAAAAAATGCAGAATAGAATTTTAGTTTGTTTGCTCTGTTTTTATTTTAACTGGAATTTTTTTTGAGAATATATCTTGACTGAGCTTGTGATTTCCATGCTGGCTCAAGATTGAATAATTGGTTTAGTGGCATCCTATGTAGCCGTCATTTGTATTACTAGGGAAAATAAATTTGACTTAATTAGGTGGAGTTATAAGACAGAAATTCAAACATAAACAGCATGGTACATATTACAGGGTAAATGAAGTGATATATTAGCATGTTACAAATAAACCTTTGTATGATTGAGAGGCCATAGCATTATTACACAGTATCTATTAATGTATTAACAGCACTCCTATGCCTTTGCTCAAGGTTTACCCGATTATACACTGCTTTACTAGGTTAGAGATTGATGGTCTGATATTACGTTGTTGAGTCAAAATTGAAATACTTTGAAGGTGACAAAATCTAATTGTTATCAAGTCAGTCTTGGATGAGTACCTTCAAACAATATACTTCAGATAAGACACCTTGATCCGCACCAATCAAGAACCTATCTCTGTCTTAAATACACTCAATGACTTCGTGTCCACAGCCCTCAACGTCAATGAGTTCCACAGATTAATCACCCTCTGGCCGAAGAAATTCCTCCTCATCTCAGTTCTAAAAGGTCGTCTCTCACGCCCCATCACGGAGCCTTACAGAACCCCACTAGAAACAGATTTCCAGTCATGGAAACAACTCCACAATATCACCTTTTGCTTCCTGCCTCTCAACCAACTTTGGATTCAATGTGCCACTCTGCCTTGAGTCCCATGAGAAATGGAGGGTTACAGGGATATGGTAGGGGGGTGGGTCTGGGTGAGATGCTCTTTGGGGGTCAGTGTGCACCTGATGAGCTGAATGGTTTATTTCCACACTGTAGGGATTCTCTGATTCTATGTGAGGATGTTGGTTCCATACCTGTTCACATCCAACCTATCCAACTTGTTCCAAGTCCCAAATATCCCATAAATGTCACAATGTCCTGGGTATCTAAACCCTTCCTTCCACAACATCTCTCCAGACATGCATTTACCTGCTTTATCCTTCTGTTCCTATACTTAGTGCTGCGTGGCATTTTGAGTAATCTGGAGATTGAAGTCTTACTTCTCAAATCTCTACCAAACTCCCTAAAGTCTGCTTTCAGGATGTTATTACTCTTTCTTCTTATGTCATTAGTCTCAACATGAACCACAAATTGTTGGCTGTGCAACCTCTCTGTTCAGAGTGCCATGCAGCATTTCATGATATTCTTGACCTAGGCATCCAGGAGGCCAACATACCATACTATAGTCACATCACTGGCCGCAGAAATGCCTGTTTGCTCCCCTCATGAATTAACCCCTTACTGCTATTGCCATTCTGCACTTCTTCCTTCCATCCACTTCACTGCTGATCTGTCTGCTTCTGTGATCTCTCCATTCTAGCTGCTGCTTTTAATCTTGCTGCCATTGCTCCCAAGTCCTTCACAGACCGCCGGTCTGTCTGCTTCTCTGTGAGGGTCCTCACCTCGTTTACTCCTTTCTCTTTTATTCTACTTCCCACATCAACTATCTTATGGCATTCGAGAGAGGATGACCAACAGTTTTCTGTAACAAAAGAAATGGACAAGTACTGACCTATAGGACTATTGCAATCAGTTTTAATTTTTAGAAAGATTAAGTTATGAACATTTTATTAGAGCTAACTAAAATATCTACCAAATTTGAATGATGATCATAAATATATTAGATTATAGGGGAGAAAAGTAAAATTGCCAGAATGTGGCTTATGGTATTTATATTAAACAGAACAGCTTCTGCATTATACTTGTCCACCATTGTCATTAAGAATACACAAGTTCCTCATTATATGTGGATTTGCTACCTATGGATCTACATACCGCGAGGTCAGCCCCAGATCTGATATCTTTTTCCCGTAATTGAAAGATCCCAATAGATTGTGCATTCCTTTAAAGTAGATAGGTAATTTCTATTATAGCGCTATCTGCGTTTTTGTGTTATTCATGGCAGGTGTGTGCTCCTATCTCCAATTGGGTAACAAGGATTTGATGTATATAATTGTAGGAATTAACATACTGGCGGAGTTAAGGGGACCCCAACCAAATTAATGAGCCAGTTAAAGTGGAGAACTTGAATTCGTTTTTGTGCTTGTCTGGTTTTGAAATTGTAGATGTTTGTTCCTATGATGAGAGTCAGCAGGTTTGACCACACTTTTCATTGTAAGACTGTAAAATGGAAAAGCAGCTCCTGCAGCTAACTGCCCTTTGCCTCTTTCCATACAGGTGGTACACAGTCCTTTGAGAACAGCTTCTCAATATGATTTGTTTATGTCTTTTGGTCCACTGTCAATGGGAAGAAGGCAGTGATTAGATTTCTTGTGAGAAAGTTTGTATTTTTACATCATGCGCAAGAGTAACATCATATCATTGTATAATGTAGGTCACTGCCAGAACCTGATTTTTGATGGAAAATAATTTTTCTTTTGTTGTATTTATCTTCTTGCTGTGACTTCTTTGTAGGTTACAATTTCTGAGAAACTGAGTGATGATGAGATTCCATCAGATGTAGATTTGAATGATTCTTTCTTCACGGATGAACTGGGACAGTCAGGTAAATCAGAAAAGTACAATTTCATTGATCATACACGGTTAGGTAATTCTCTTCCTGCAATTAGTATTTACAACCAATCATTTTCAGACACAAGGGAAAGGCAATAAAAAGTCCAGATAAATATTTTAAACTGTATAATCTAAATCATATTTCTGATAAGCCCTATCCATTCATCATATCCTCTTGAAAGTAAGAAAATAATCTTAAATATTTGCACACGGAAGTTACAGCTGCTTCTAAATTACTGGTTAGGAATGAATGAAAGTGACCATTATGATTTCATACTAAATCTTATTAGCAGAGTCTTTACCTAAAACATGTCTAAAGATTCACAGAAGAGTCAATTAAGAATTTCTTTTATGTAAATTTTAACATACTTGTTGTGACATTAAGTCTAAAACCATAGGAAATGTTTATTTTTCTACAATTAGTGTAATGGCAGTGATTAAATGTTTATTAGACATACATTCTGTTTAAACATAGTATGGGCCCCTTTCTAAAGTGGAGCACTGCTGGAGTATTTTTTGCTTTTGTTTTTATTGTCAGATTTATGGGCATTCATATCCAGTACACCCAAAACTAGGTTACAAAATGAAAGCATGCCATGTCTTTTGCTTATAAATGTTAATACTCGTCAGTCTAGCACATGATGCTAAATGATGTCATTAGAAAACAGCAAAATGATAAAAAATTATACCAATAGGTGGATTGGATATTGTTTTCTGAAACTTACTAATAATTGTATTGTTTCCCCACTTTGCAATAATATTCATTGTGTGATGTTTCAATATAGCTTTTGTTCATCCAAAATCATAAGGTTGAACAGCTTCCACATTTTGTTTATTTTTCTCATTTGCAGCATTTCACCAAAAGAAGATGGGGAAGAAGAATAAAAAGTTAATGGATAAACTGACACCAGAGGAGGAAGGCGACTTAGAAAAGGAAAAGGTCAGAAATGCTCTATCTTGAAAATTTGAAGTATATGGTGCATATTGAGCAAGATGTCTCATCATTTTGATGAGAAGCTAAATCTTCTCAGTTCTATGTATAAAGGCGTTAGACTTTTTCAAGAGAGACGCTTTTTTTTCCTGTTCCCTTTTAACCATCTTCCAACATCACCAAAAACTAATTATTCAGTCAGTTAACTAATTGCAGTTCATGGCATTATGCTGAATGCAAATACAGCAAACATATTATTAACCGCACCTATGGGACCAGGAATGTGCCAGTTGATTAAGAGATCCACATAATCAATGTAAAAACACACACTAAGTAATAGCAACATAATAAAGGGTATACACATCACTGTTATACTTTATTTATGGCATATATCACTTAAATAATTATGCAACTTTGTCTTTAAAAATAAATCAGCAGAGAGCCTTCTCACTCACACCCTGAGCTGACTACTTGGACATCACAATAATACTGTAAAATTTCCAGTCTTTCAGGTATACAGTTGTTGCCGGTTTATCGAGAGTTCATAAGGTGCCAGTTAAAACAGAGTTTTCTACAGTACTGTAATGCTCGGTATGAGGACAGTCATTTCACTTTCACAGCTTTTTGTGGGCTCCGATGCAATTCTGAATTTATTATTTGAAGACACTGTATAAAAATTCTAGTACTTGCTGCTTGCCCTGCCCATATTTTGCCCATTAAGCAGCTATGAGATTTTTATCAAAGCTGTTTACCTACTGAAGAGTTGAAAATTAACATGTAAGTGAAAGATTTACACTGGGAAAATCGATTGTACATGCTATCAAAGCCATGCTTTGCTTATTCACTTCTTGCCTTTCAGTGCTTTTCATTTCATTACTTTTCACCTTTCTGACTTTCATTCCTTGGGTGGTTATGATGATTTTTGTGCCTCACTTGCACCAATCACAGGAGGGACTGGGAAATTCCATTTGATCTTTTAGAATACGCTGAGTTAGGGCCTACAGTGATGTAAATGTTTAAGAGATGGTATGATTAACAGTCAGACCAACAAGGGATTTACAGCATAATTTTGAGAGAGTTTCTATATATCTGGGCCTCTTGTTCTGAGCATGTGCACTTTTCTTTTGCCTTTGCAGATTTATACATTATTAAATTTTCATTTTAATATGTAGTAAACTTACACCACAAAATATTTAATTACCAGGCAAAAATGGCCTTGCTTATGATGGATGATGAAGAGGAAGACAGAAGACATTTCAATTATGACAAAATAGTGGAACAGCAGAATCTCAGCAAGAAGAAAAAGAAGAAATTAATTAAAAAGCAGGCACTTCTAGAAGAAGACAATTTCCAGGTAATTTAACATTTCAGTGTTCACAATTCTTTGTTCAGTTGTTCACAATTCAAAATTAAGTATAGCAAGATAAAATATGTTACTTTGTGTTATATTTATACTTGTCAAAAATGTAAAGATTCCACTGTGGATTGTTAATGAGATTGGATTGGAAACACTAACATTTTTTGGTTTAAAGTAGACAGTTTGAGATCCCAGGTATTTACTTAGAGAATAAAGCCACAAGCATTGCTGGGACAGAATCCTGGAACTCCTCCTGTGACGGCATTGGGGGTCAATCCATAACAAATAGACTACAGTGGTTTAAAAAGGCAACTTACCTCCACCTTCTCAAGGGCAACTAGGGATGAGGCATACATGCTGGCCCAGCCATTGACACCCAAATCCCATGAATGAATAAAAAAAAAACCCCACAGTTTCAAACAAATAGAATAAATTTTACTCTACAACATTATAATAGCAAAACAGAACTTATGTACTAACATCCAAAATTAAGCTGAGGTAAAAGTGGAGAACAAAAAAACTATGGCCAAAACCCCACATAGCATATCAAATAACAAATGCAGTCAGGACAAGATTGCTCAGATTTTTCAACAAACCCTCATTAATTCTTATTAAAACTTTTTCCCCTTTACAAGGGATTCCAAATCTTCATTTCCAAAGAATGGTTTGGACTTCCTCAAAAGCTGCTTCTTTACAGACTGTCTGTCTCAATGATTGCTCACTGTCTCCTGTCCTGGTAGTTCAATCTTTTCCCGAGCCTGTGTCCACTGGATTCTGAAGACTGCATTCCAACAAGTATAATTCCAGCTTTATCTTCAATAAACTGAGACTATCCCTGGGTTTCTGAGCTCCCATATTTCTCGGCTGCACCAAGCAAATATTGCCTGTGAACTTCCTTCACACCTACATTTAGCTATAATTAGCAATGGCTCCCACGGTTTCCTCCAAGACCCTACTGCACCTACCAGCTCCCAGGACATCTCTAAGCTCTAACTGCACATGGAGATTGCTACAGTAGCACCTTTTGGGATGGAGCCTCTTCTACCTACTCCTTGGTATCTGACTGCTTCAGTAGCCCAAAGGTAGCAAGCTTCTGTTTTAACTGCCTCCAACCAACTGACTAAAACTGACTGTTCAGTGACCTTATAGGGCCCACGCTGGACCCTAGTGCACATTTAATTTGACTCTGAAGTTATAAAACATGTCCATAGAACCTTTGATCACTGGTCTAGAGCGCAATAATGCTGCATTACCAAATAAGGAATGGTTAATGGTCTCTAGGCTCATAGATGGGGGAGATAGAATCTACCTAAGGCACGTAAGATAAAGACTGAGTAGATGATTCCTGGTTAGAATCTGTTAGCCCATGGTTTATTTATGATACAATAATTACAGATCATAATGACTGCTGACTGTTCTTTTTGTTTCTGCCCCATACACTCCCTTTGGCCTGCCCTGCAAGATCATGAATTGACAGCACTAACAGTGAAATATTTTAGGTAAATGAAGAAGCATAGGTATGACTCTACAGGTAGAACAGCCAGCACAGGCACAAATGTCCCCACACAAAGACAATTATACACAGTTGAAATAAATACTATTCTCAAAATTTTACATTCTAGTTTGGTATTGTACCTTTTTTGTTTGATCCCTTTAGTTGATATCTCACTATCCACAATGACTTGTATAGAAGTTGAGAAGAAAATGTTTTTCTTTTGAAGACTTTAAAAATATTATTAGCAGGTTTTCTGGGACTTTCTAAAGTAAATACAGAAAAAACTTACTTCCCGTAGGGATAGATCCAGAATGAGACAGTATAATCTTAAGAATCAGAATTAGAGGATAGCTATTCACTGCTGTCACCACAGGAATAATGGGAGAAGTGGAGAGAATGTTTTTAGTGCATGGGATTGAAGGGCATTCACTGCCTAACAAGCAAACATAGTAGAAATAAATCTTGTAATATCTTTAACACAAAAGTGGATAACTGTTTGCAAAATGAAAACTTTAAGGGCAAAAGCTCAAAAGGACATGAACAGCTTTTTCAGAGAGCCAGCACAGACACAATGAACTGTGATTCTGTAAAAGAAAAATGAAAAGGGGGAAATGTGCTTTACATTAAATGCCTTCTCATTTTGGAGACAATAGAAGTTCTGAATATCACAGTTCTGTTACTATGGAAATTATTGGCAAGATTCAGATGTGGCCTAAATTTTAAATCATTGAACATGCTGTAAAACCGGACAGCTATAACAAAGATGCAAGATATTATGTTTGAGATTTTTGTTTTGTTACAGGTGGATGTTGCTGACCCAAGGTTTAAAGCCATATATACTTCGCACCTCTTCAACCTAGACCCTTCAGATCCCAGTTTTAAGAAGACTAATGCCACACAGTCGATCCTGGAAGAAAAGTCAAGGCGAAGGCAAGAGCAGCAGAAGCAAATAGCATTGATCAAAAGGAAGGAAAGTGATGTGATTGGAGAAGACACAACAACAGCCATCAAGAAACCCATAGATCCTGCACTTTCTTTGCTTGTAAAATCGGTAAAAGCAAAAACTGAACAGTTTCAAGCTCGAAAGAAACAAAAAACTGTGTAAAAGAATCTATATACAAAAACAATCTGATTTTTGCAAATATACTTATGGATTTTGATCAATAACAATGTACATATAAATCATTGAAAATAAGTTTACTAGATTGTTAAGATAGTTTTAAATACTTATCTCGAGTTCAATGTACCTACAGGAATAACGTCATTGATGTTGACCAAAATTAAGCTTTTTTATTAACCAGTAGTTGTGTTGAATAAATTCTTCTGACTACAGCTGAAATTCGAAGCTTTAAAGAGTTGTGTATACCAGTTTCCTTTTATTATTCATGCTCACATGTGCTTTGGTCATGCTAATACATGGTTTATTTTTTTCATATCATCACTTGGCATCGCTAAAAAGGTGCTTTCTATAAGGAAAAGTTTCCATATGAAAGCTAATCGGAAAGAGAAACTGAAGTTCAAACATCAGAAGTTAAACTCACAAAAGCTTTTAAATTTACAGTTAGGTAAAATAGGAACATAAGTTTTCTTATGCCTTATCTTTTCATTTATTATGTTCAGATTTGCAAAAATAATCTGGAAAGTTTAAAATTTTCATTGTCCAAAATTTAATTCAGAAACCATGGAAGCTTAAATTTAAAGAACCAAATTTTTGAACAACAAATTTAATATTTTATTGAATTCTTATTCTGTATTTGGATATATTTAAGGAACTGCATTCTTTCATCACATGATGTGCTATGACACAGGGATACCAAGCCAAACTAAATCAGACTTGCTAACACTGGATTTGCAACACTGAAATTAAAGCATTCAATGGCCCTCAAAATTGCTCAATTGTTTCCGAGCACGCTTTTCAAATAACTGATCTTGCACACCAAGTTTGTAACATGAATCGAAATTAACAATTTATCATTAAGAATGTAACTTTAGCAGAATACAGATGAACTACAAGGCAATCTAACTAATATCTACGATCTAAGCCTCGTCTTTGAATACAAATCCCCACTCTTCTGCACAGATAGACACAATTATGGGAGAAATTAGAAAGAAAATGTAACAATTACTGAAAACTGTTTCAACAATGAGTACCAGGTCTTTATGGAATTCTTTCAGTGATTGGTTATATTACGGTCACATGAGATTATATCTTGCTTGAATTCAAAAGTCACCAGTTAATGCAAACAGGTTCTAGCAGGCTCGGTGGAATATTCACTTTTTTTTAAAATTGGGATTCCTTTCTAAGAACGTTCAACAATTCCTTAACTGAATATAAAAATTAGAAGGAGTAAAATTTAAACAGAACTTCTAGTCTAATAGCTTCCAAGCACACAGCCTTCTGCCCAAAAACCCAGTTAAAATCAGTTCAATCTATGGTTTCTCTTTTTCAACATTCTGATGTTGGCTAGCCAGCAGCAGCCTTCCCGTGATTAACCAATGCGATACCCAACCAGCTGCCAGTCCTTGAGCATAATACATCATGGTGCCAAACATCTACAGTATTTTTAGAGCAATAATTAACCTGCAATATCCTTCCATTAGCAAGCATCAATTTGTTTGCTCTCTCCTATCCAAAAGAAGCTGCTGCTCAAAGTTCATTTCTCAACTTCAGCTCTCAGTTTCAGACCAAAAGTGAAAAAAGTGAGAGATGATCTTAACGACACATACAAAATGTAGCAGACCCATCTCTATCCCATACTAAGGGTTAGGATATAGTGCTCTGCAATGAGTGTGGGTGGGCAACTTTGAGGGTGAATAATTTCCTGTTGCATCAGTGGGAAATCTCACCAGATCAAGCACTGAATAGGTACTTAAAAATACTGACTGGCAAGCCTCCCATCCAAAGAGGAGCTTTGCCACTGAAGTTTCATCCTGCCTGAGGCTGTAGCTTTTGAGATTGTCACTGGAGGCCTTGGCTGTAAAGGACTAAAAAGGCAAGCGGGGGATTTTCTTTAAAAAAAGATCTCAGGAAGAGGACATCAGGGTTTTGGAAACAAAGATAGGGACTAACTTTAAGCTTCCACCACACTGCTCCACTTCCCTACTGCTGACTACCTGAGATTGGGGTACAGCCTGACTATTCTCCAACTTGATAGGCAGGCCACCCTGGAAACCAACCACTTTTCTCACCTGCCGAGAAGGCAGATAATAGGAATAGTGGAGAGTTGAGACTCTTAAGTGGTTGTTACTTGATCACATGGGCCTTAATTGGTGGGGGTTGAAAAGGATGTCTATGGACCTTGTCATCCAGAACGTATTTGCTGTAGTGGCAAGGGGATTGGTGTCTCTCTGGGCCAAATGCCCAATTATTTCCTTTCTCACCACCTCCAGGGAGGTCAAAATCATGCCCATGGTTCCAATCGCTCATCAATGTACAGTGGTTAGTTGTGCACCAGATTTGAAAATTAAATTTTTCAAATCCCTCCTCCAAATGTGCACACCCATACTGGTTTATTCAATTCTCTGATTCTTACCCTTCAGGATTGTCTCTCAATTTGCCTCAGGCAAATCCTTCAACTGCCTTATTCCTCCTGTTTATAACTCCCACTCTAAATTCCTTCAACTCTTAACATGCTCATTATGAATAGCCATCTCAAAATCATCTTTCTGTCCAAACTTTCAATCATCCTTTCTTGTCTCTCCCTCTGTGGCTCCTTGTCAATTTCCCATTCTAATTTTCAGTTGAGAATGTGCTCAGAGTGTATGGCTTTTTCATAGACAATGGTTTTTAAAAGAAAGTTGGATGTCTTTCCAGATTTTTAAGTTTGGGAATCAGTTTAGTTACAAAACATCTGGTAAATGTATTTCATAATTTGTGGTCCTCTGCGTACCATTTATAATGAAAGAAAACCAGAATATCTGGTGAGATGCTTCCAGAATATCTCCCTTCAAAGCATTTTTTTGTCAACCTACTGCATGCTTTTCCCTAACATGTACATTGCCATATCATTGCTTCAGCTGCTGTGGTCAACATTGATTTTATTTCTCATTGCTCCTGGACAAGTCGCCTTTGAAAGATGATTGTCTATGAAGAGTTTAGCTTTTCTCCCCCTAACCTTTTTCCTGATGTCACCAATGACTTGACAAGCTTTCTTAAGCCGACAAAGGACTGGATTTTCCTTTTGATTTGTGGTTACGAAACAAAATAAAATGATTCAGCGATGGCTACTGTTTGAAAACCACTGCTTAAAAATAGGGTTTGAATTGCAATGTGAAAACCCGTTTCTCTACTAACACCTGATGATAGGCTGTATCACCACAAACAAATGGGGATCATGTGAACACAGCTAATCCCCTCTCTTCATTCCTATTTTTCATCCTGAACCCATCCCACAATTTTCCACTAATACTTGCCAAGATTTTGCAGTTCAGAGTGAAGAATCAATGCTTGCCATTCTTCTCGCTGACAGTTGCTGGCAACGTTTTGACATGCTTTGGAGTACAGTCTTGTTTTATGCTGGGTCTAAGCCAGTGCAGTGCCCTCTATAGGGATTTTGAGAATGAAGATTCTTTGCAGAGACACAGAATTCAAAGTTGGACATAAAGCAGGAGGTATAGAAACATAGAAGGCAGAAGCAGCAGTAGTCGATTTGACCTTTCAAGCCTGTTTTGCCATTAAAGATAATCACGGATCATCGAGATCGATACCCTAATCACACCCTCCCTGCATACCCCTTAATCCCTTTATCAAGAAGAGTTATACCTAACTCCTTGAAAAGATAACGTTTTGACCTCCACCACTTTCAGTGGCAGTGAATTCCATAGGTTCACCACACCAATTGAACAAATTTCTCCTCGTCTCAGTCCAAAATGGTTTACCCTTTTCCTTCAACTATGACTTCTATTTCTGGACTCCACCACCACAGGGAACATTCTTCCTGCATCAAACCTGACTAGTCCTGTTAGAATTTTATAGTTTTCTATGAGATAACCCCTCAATCTAAACTCCCGTGAATAGAATCCTAACCAACTCAACCTCTCCTTACACGTCAGGCCTGCCATCCCAAGATACAAATTTGGTAAACTTTTGCTGCACTCCCTCTAAAACAAGAACATCCTTCCCCAGATAAGGAGACCAAAACTGCATACAATATTCCTGGTGTAGCCTCACCAATGCCCTCTATAATCGTAGCAAGTTCCTATACTTGAATCCTCTTGCTATGAAGGCCGACATACAGTTAGCTTTCTTTACTGCCTGCTGCACCTGTGAGCTTACTTGCAGCAAATCAGATTGAAATCATGTACAGAAAGTGAAGCAAATATAGAATTAAAAACATTAATAACAGAGATGGATAAAGTAAAACAAACTTTTTAAAATCTCTAGTGCTCCCTAATATTTTAAAGGAATGGTGTTTTACACTTCTAAAATTAAATTTCTGCCCCAGTGATTTTGTTGATCTATAATCCTGTTAAAAATTCACCGTTTTCAGAATGTATGAGCCCCAATATTGATGTCTTCAGTGAGGTTTGGATGGGTCAATATCTCAACTTCATACCACTACATTGATTTCAGTGCCAAATGTCACACGAAGGACTCCTACAGTACACATTTATGGAGTAGTGAAATACTCATGACAATAATTCTGGATTTCCACCTTAAAAGAAAATGTGTGGAACCAGAAGTTGCTGTTCAATTTACTCCATCACAACTGTGAGTGCTTTTATTTGTTTCTAAATATGTACTTCATTATATTTGTATTCTAGAACAGCTCAAATTAGACATTGTGCAATGCTGTAGAACTTGCAGAGAACATGCCATTCTTAAGTATCTCAATAAAACTGCAATTACACATGATATTTGCAATATGTATTTCATGTCAAACAAAACCTCAGGGGTTTTTACACAATTTCCAGCTGCTTGGTATACTATGGCAGGTGGGCCTTATCTTGTGGCCTTCAGTTAATCAGTTTACAAAACATGGGCTATTAATGAAGTGAAGTAACATTGAGTCAGACTGTTTCAGGAAGCTATGTCAAGAACCACACCTCAAGATTGAATTATTTCGCCTATGTATCAATTTTAAATATTTAACACGAGCTTACCAAGCCTTTTAAATTACCTCTGCACTCAATACATTCCTAATCAGAATCCTTCTAACCTTATATTTTGAAGTGATGATATTATAATTCCTGTACAGAACAATAACCTTTAAAAAGGGATCCTCACAAGGTCCATTGGAAAAAAAGTCTTGTCAAGGTGTCACTTAAAACATTTATTGTAGTCAGTCCAAAAAACCCACTATAATTCAATATTAATTAATAGGTCAAAGACATTTCAAACAAAGGGGGAAGCTTCACTTTATATAGTCTGGTGTAGAGCTTGATGAACTCTACACCTTGTTATCTCAGATTCTCCAGCATCTGCAGTTCCTACTATCTCTGATACAACTTTATATAGTCTATCATGTCTTAACTGGGAAGAGTGTGATGATTATCATACTCCACTGTCCCATAAGCTGTCACAAAATGTATGAAAATGTATAAAATTTAAATGACACTGCCAAAATCCAATTTGCCTGATTGTGCTACCAAGGACAACGCAAAACACAGCATGTTTGATCAGTAACAGTAAAAAGTAATTCTATTTATTAAAACAGAACGTGAAAAAAAAATTTCTAATTTATGTAACTTAAACTATACCCCATCATTCATACAACACACTCACACACAGTTAAAACAGACAAAACCCATATGGTTTAACGCATGTACAGTGGGTGGAAAAAGAATATAGACAGGCTAAACAAAATTCCAAAGATCAGAAGTCCAGACCACAAGGTGGAGAGTTCTTTTTCTCTCACAGTCCTTTTATTTTTAGCAATAATGAGTCACTGTTGTTTGTATGGTAATGGTCATCCTTCAGTTCAATGGTTGACCAGATCAATTGTTATCTTTTCGTACAAACACTTTTAAGCTTTCTGGAGTTTTCTGTCTTTATACCCACATGAGAAAGGGAGAGATGCATTCTGTATGCTCTGGATTGTTTTCCCTCTTTGTTGCACTTGGCATTTGCAACTTTTTAAAAACTCTGCAGCTCAACCACAGAGCTGTTACCAGGCAGAAATTCATTAACGCAAAAGTGCAATTCATTTGCAAATATCCCTCATTTTGCTCCCAAAAATCGATATTGTATTGCACAGCTAAACAAGATGCAACAGATTGTTCAAGTGGCAAACAACTTTTCTAGCATTCCAGTTAAAGGTGTATGACTTCCATTTCAGTTTATTGTTCAAAAATAAAGTATATGTGGTCTTTTGCAAGTCAATGAAACAAAGATATGCCTCATGTTGTTAGAAGCACTCACATCACTTTCTCACAAATATGGGATCACATGTAGGTGAGGTGCCGGAAGACTGGAGGTTGGTTAACGGTGTGCCACTATATAATAATGGCGATGGCAGAGTGGTATTATCGCTGGACTGTTAATCCAGAAACCCAGATAACATTCTGGGGACCCAGGTTTGAATCCCACCATGGCAGATGGTGGAATTTGAATTCAATAAATGTCTGGAATTAAGAATCTAATGATGACCGTGAATCCTTTAGGGAAGGAGACTGCCATCCTTACCTGGTCTTGCCTACGTGTGACTCCAGATCCACAGCAATGTGGTTGACTCTTAACTGCCTTCTGGGCAATAAGGGATGGGCAATAAATGCTGCCTAGCCAGCGGTGCCCTCAGCCCGTGAATGAATAAAGAAAAAACATAATGGTGGTAAGGAAAAGCCAGGGAACTAAAGACAGTGACCCTGACATCAGTGGTGGGCAAGTTACTGGAGGAAATCCTGAGGGACAGGATATACATGTATTTGGAAAGGCAAGGACTGAATAGGGGTAGTCAACATGGCTTCGTGCATGGGAAATCATATCTCACTAACTTGATTGAGTTTTTTTGAAGAACTAATGAAGAGGATTGATTAAGGCAGAGCAGTGGACATGACCTATATGGACTTCAGTAAGGCATTCAACAAGGTCCCTCATGGTAGACAGGTTAGCAAGGTTAGATCACATGGCGTATAGGGAGAACTGGCTACAGAACTGGCTCAAAGGTAAAAGACAAAGTATAGTGGTAGAGGGTTGCTTTTCAGGCTGAAGGCCTGTGACTAGCAGTGTGCCTCAAGAATTGGTGCTGGATCCACTGCTTTTTGTCATTTATATAAATGATTTCAATCTGAACATAGGAAATATGCTTAGTAAGTTTGCAGATGACACCAAAATTGGAGGTATAGTGGACATCAAAGAAGATAGCCTCATAGTACAACAGGATCTTGATCAGATAGGCCAATGGGCCGAGGAGTGGCAGATGGAGTTTAATTTATGTAAATGTGAAGTGCTGCATTTTGGAAAGGCAAATCAGGACAGGACTTATACACTTAATGGTAATGTCCTGGGGGGGGGGTGTCGCTGAACAAAAAGATCTTGGAGTGGAGGTTCACAGTTCATTGAAAGTGTAGTCACTTGTAAATAGGATAGTGAAGAAAGTGTTTAGTATGCTTGCCTTTATTGGTCAGTGCATTGAGTATAAGAGTTGGGAGGTCATATTGCAGCTGTACAGGATATTGGTTTGGCCATTTCTGGAGTATTTTGCGTGCAATTCTGGTCTCCCTCCTATTGGAAGGATGTTGTGAAACTAGAAAGAGTTCAGAAAAGGTTTACAAGGATGTTGCCAGGGTTGGAGAGTTTGAGCTATAGGGAGAGGCTGAACAGACTGGGGCTGTTTTCCCTGAAGTGTCGGAGACTGAGGTGTGACCTTATATATGTTTATAAAATCATGAGGGACATGGATGGGGTGAATAAGCAAAGTCTTTTCCCTAGGGTGGGGGAGTCCAAAGCTAGAGGGCATAGATTGAAGGTGAGAGGGGAAAGATATATAAGGGACCGAATGGCCAACTTTTTCACTTAGACAGTGGTGCGTGTATGGAGTGAGCTGACAGAGGAAGTGGTGGAGGCTGGTACAACTTTTAAAAAGTATCTGTGTATATGAATAGGAAGGGTTTAGAGGAATCTTGGCCAAATGCTGGCAAATGGGACTAGATTTATTTAGGATTACTGGTGGGCGTGGGCGAGTCAGGCTGTAGGGTCTGTTTCCAAGCCATCTCTATGACATGTAATCTATCTTTATAACTCGGCTTTAATTTTGTAGGATTGCTTACTTCTTGTCCAACCACGCCAGGCCATCATTAACGGTGCAGATACCTATACCCTTATATTGCCAGGTCCAGCTTGGACTCCACTTCTGTCTCACCTGTACATGTTGTGTGGCCAAGAGGCGGGAACAGGTGGATGCGGAAGTGAATGGGAAGGGGAGGCGCTACTTACGGCCGTTGGTCGCGCGCGATGGGCGGGCCGAGTGGAACGTGCGGCCGTTAACCGCCACCCGCCGGGTAACGGCAAAGGTTGAGATCGCAAAGTGCGCGTGCGCCGATCCACAGTGACGGTCCAGTCGAGGCCTGCGAAGCGGCGGCCTCCGTCAGAACTAGGGGTTCCGCGCAGCTCTGTCTCTCCCTCTCTACCCTCCACGCTGATCCGATGGAAGGGGGCAATCGCCATGGCGCCCGGCTGTGACCATGGAGGCCGCAGGGAGCCTGGGACCCGGGGAGCCACAGCCTCCCAGCACTGCTGAAGGAGCGGCGCCGATGAAGAGGAGCGGGGGGGAAACGGCCTCCGAGGCGAAGAGCGTGGGATTTGTGCTTGTGCATGCAGGTGAGCAGTGGCCCTCCTTCCCGTGCCAAACCACTGGGCATCCTCATGTCCAACCTTGAAAGGTGTGGATGACCCCGTGGGCTGGGAATCATCAAATAAACGTTGCAGTAAGACCCGCCTCCAATTACGGCCAATCTGCGGAGCTTAACGATCGCAAAAGATCGATTTCTGATGCCAGACGTTGTTGACAAGAGTTTTCTAGTTGTTTGTAAATATGAGTCGACCTTGCGTGGCGTTGCTCCTGGATAAAGGCGTTCAGTTTGAATGAAGTCTTCCCAACACGAACAATGATCCTCTGCCTTTCATTTTCTCTTTAGTTTGTCCAATACCAGGGTCCTGTGCTTGAACAAGGGGAACTACAATAGAATGAGGGAGGACTTGGCTAAAGTAAATGGGAAACAAAGATTTTATGGTGGGACAGTTGACGAGCAGTGGAGGACTTTCAAAGCAATCTTTCGAAGTGCTCAGCAGAAGTATTTTCCAATGAAAAGGAAGGACTGTAAGAAAAGGGGTAATCTGCCATGGGTGTCTAAAGAAATAAGGGAGGCTATCAAATTGAAAGAGAAGGCGTACAAAGTGGCCAAAAACATCATGAAACTAGAAGATTGGGAAAACTTTAAAGGTCAACAGAAAGCCTCAAAAAGAGCTATAAGGAAAAGTAAGATAGAACATGAGAAAAAACTAGCACAGAATATAAAGACAGATAGGAAAAGTTTCTATAAATATATAAAATGAAAAAGAGTGGCTAAAGTAAACGTTGGCCCTTTAGAGCATGAGAAGGGGAATTTAGTTATGGGATATGATGAAATGGCCCAGGCATTGAACAGGTATTTTGTATCGGTCCTCACGGTGGAGGACACTAATAACATGCCAGTAATTGACAAAGGGACGAAGGTAGGTGAGGACCTGGAAACAATCATAATTACGGAAGAGGTAGTGTTGGGCAAGCTAATGGAGCTAAGGATTGATAAGTCTCCTGGCCCTGATGGAATGCATCCCAGGGTACTAAAAGAGATGGCGAAATAGCAGGTGCACTGGCGGTAATTTTCCAAAATTCGCTGAACTCTGGGGCAGTCCCAGCAGATTGGAAAACAGCAAATGTGACGCCACTGTTTTAAAAAGGGAAGTAGACAAAAGATGGGGAATTATAGACCGGTTAGCTTAACCTCTGTAGTGGGGAAGATGCTTGAGTCTATTATCAAGGAAGAAATAGCAAGGCATCTTGATAGAAATTGTCCCGTTGGGCAGACGCAGCATGGGTTCATGAAGGACAGGTCATGCTTGACAAATCTTTTGGAATTCTATGAAGACGTTACGAGCGAGGTGGACAACGGGGACCCAGTGGATGTGGTGTACCTAGACTTCCAAAAGGCCTTTGACAAGGTGCCGCACAAGAGGCTACTGCGTAAGATAAGGATGCATGGCATTAAGGGTAAAGTATTAGCATGGATAGAGGATTGGTTGACTAACAGGAAGCAAAGAATGGGGATAAATGAGTGCTATTCCAGCTGGCAGTCAGTGACTAGTGGTGTGCCTCAGGGATCGGTGTGGGGACCGCAATTATTTACAATTTATATAGATGATTTGGAGTTGGGGACCACATGTAGGGTGTCAAAGTTTGTAGATGACACTAAGATGAGCGGCAAAGCAAAGTGTGCAGAGGACTATGAAACTTTGCAGAGGAACATAGATACATTGAGTGAGTGGGCAAAGGTCTGGCAGATGGAATACAATGTAAATAAATGTGAAGTCATACATTTTGGTAGGAGTAATAGTAAAAAGGATTATTACTTGAATGGTAAAAAGTTGCAGCATGCTGCTGTGCAGAGGGACCTGGGTGTCCTTGTGCATGAATCACAGAAGATAGGCCTGCAGGTACAACAAGTAATTAGGAAGGCAAATGGAATTTTGTCCTTCATTGCTAAAGGGATTGAAATTAAAAGCAGAGAGGTTGTGTTGCAGCTGTACAAGATGCTGGTGAGGCCACACCTGGAGTACTGTGTGCAATTTTGGCCTCCTTCCTTGAGAAAGGATGTACTGGCACTGGAGGGGGTGCAAAGGAGGTTCACGAGGTTGATTCCGGAGTTGAGGGGGTTGGCTTATGAGGAGAGACTGAGTAGATTGGGATTATATTCATTGGAATTCAGAAGATTAAGGGGGGGATCTTATAGAAACATATAAAATTATGAAGGGAATAGATAAGATAGAAGAAGAGAGGATGTTTCCACTGGCAGGTGAAGCTAGGACAAGAGGGCATAGCCTCAAGATTAGAGGGAGCAGATCTAGGCCTGAACTGAGAAGGAATTTCTTCACCCAGAGGGTTGTTAATCTATGGAATTCCTTGCCCAGTGAAGTAGTTAATGCTACTTCAGTAAACGTTTTTAAAAAAAAGGTAGATTTTTTTTGAACAATAAAGGAATTAAGGGATACGGTGAGAACACGGGTAAGTGGATCTGAGTCCACGAAAAGATCAGCCATGATCTTATTGAATGGCGGAGCAGGCTCGAAGGGCCAGACGGCCTACTCCTACTCCTGCTCCTAGTTCTTATGTTCTTATGTTATGTTGTCCTTCAAAGTTTTCTTCTGCGCTCTCAATTGTCCTAACTCCCCTGCCTTTACATTTTCCTATTTTATCTTTATCGACCCATCTAAATCTTTCTTTCTTTAACATTTTTTTTCTCAGTCTGTTTGTTTGCAGTTAATTATCAATAGTGGTATATTTTGGACATTCCTGAAGTTTTGAGGTTTATCTTTGGCAGCAATCCTTTTCAAAATATTGAATCTTTTTAGAAGAATTTCAGTGTGTTCAGTCACATCCCTGATCACATCATAAGGTTTAAGTTGAACTTCACATCGCATTCAAGGATTGCAAAAAGCTGACATAATATGTACTTTGAAAAAATCATTGCCACTTGCTAAGGATGTGGAATGCAGTGTTAGTTCAGGAACCTCATTTGTAAGAATGCCAGAACGTTCACACTATCATTAAATTGGCACTAGATAGTGAACCAGAAATTAGTGGATTAATATTACAACTCTTGCCATTAGGAGGAAGAATATTTCCTATTCTATTTCAGTTCATTTTTTAAAATATTTTGAGTAATTAATTACTGGACAAAGTATGTTGTCAGCTTTGGAGTGAGGAATGGAAATATTTCTCTAATCAGACCTTATTTTATAAATCAGGCTAGAGTATAAAAATATTTATCTTGGGATATATTTATTTGTGTTGAGTTAAAAAAAATCATGAATGGTTTTGGCATAGAGTATATCTCAGTGGCTTCAAATTGGTCTGTTTCAAAAGAGGAAGGAAGAGTGACCCAGATAATAAAAGAAGGTGATTTGCAATGTATTTTTTAATGACCAGTGACTGTTACAACCAATGCAGTATACTTAAAGCAGTCACTCGTAATGCAAGTGAGTCTGCTTTCCTAGTAGCAGGAACTGAGGATGTGATTATTTTTGTGTGTGACATTAAATAGTACAGAATAAATAACAATGTACAGATGAACTCTCTGGGATTGCAAAGTACATGACCCATGTGGCAACAGATCATTTTGTGGAGAGTCCTTCAATGACTGGTGTACTCCAGTCTCTCGACTAAACAGGGGCATTTGTCATGTCTGCGGAAAAAATCTAATGATTAGTACCTGTGTGATAAATGTGTTCTCTTGATGCTGACTTTGGTTGTCATTTGTTCAAATTGGACAAAATTACCTACAAAATCTTTGCTTTCCAGCAGGACCTAGAGCTAACCTTGAAGCATTTTGTTCACTATCAAGAGCCCTTACTTTCAAGTGCACTGTCTTAGTTGCCTCCCCTCTGGCTACTGTGCAGCCCTTAATTGTTACTTGATCAGCTCTGGACTTAATTCCTGTCATGTTGTTTTTGCTAGCTTGGTTGCCTACCCTCTCTGCTGAATGCACATTTAGAAATTGCTTATCTATGTAGTCTAGTTGACCTGTCACCTTTCCTCCTAAGCTCTTTGCTGCCTGCATCGACAATTTGCCTGCCAACAACTAAGCTTCATGGCTGCCTTGAAATCTTCACTCCAGCATAGTTGCATCCTTGCACCATGGTTGGCTCTGCTGCAGAGGGGAGGGGTAAAAAGTGTGCCAGGGCAATAGTTATAGGGGACTGAATTGTAAGGGGAATGGACAGGTGTTTCTGTGGCCACTAACGAGACTCCAGGACGGTATGTAGCCTCCGTTGATCGTAGGATCAAGGATGTCTCGTAGTGGGTACAGGACATTCTGGAGGTGGAGGGTGAATGGCCAGTGGTCGTGGTACACATCAGTACAAACGACATAGGTAAGAAAAGGATGAGGTCCTAAAAGCAGAATACAGGGAGCTAGGAAGAAAGTTTAAAAAAATTGGACCTCAAAGGTAGTGATCTACCAGTGCCATGTGCTAATCTGAGTAGAAACGACATGATATATTGGATGAATACATGGCTGAAAGATGGTGCTGGGGGAGTGTTTCAGATTCCTGGTGCATTGGGATCAGTTCTGGAGGAGGTGGGACCTGTACAAATTGGACAGGTTACACCTGGGCAGGACTGGGATTGATGTCCTAGGGGGAGTGTTAGCTACAGCGGTTGGGGATGGTTAAAACTAATATGCCACGGGGGTGGGAAGCTATGTAAGGAGTTAGAGGGAGGGAGCATGGACAAAAACAAAAGGTAGAAAAGGGAATAAGAAAAGTGATAGGCAGAGAAACCATGGACAAAATTCAAACACAGTATTGGGAAAAATAACAGTGACACAAACAGTGTTTTAAAAAGACAAGCTTAAAGGCTTTGTGCCTTAATGTGCGGAGCGTTTGCAGTAAAGTGGATGAACTAATCATGCAGGATAGATGTAAATGGGTACAATATAATTGGGATTATGGAGACATGACTGCAGGGTGACCACGGATGGGAACTGAATGTCCCAGGGTATACAGTATTTAGGAAGGACATGCAGAAAGGAAAAGGTGATGAAATGGCATTGCTGATTAAA